TTTCCCCCCCCCCCCCCCCTCCTTTTGGCGGCGCCTCTTTTCACCGCTTGCGGGGGGTACCCTGCGCAGGTTGAGCGCTTTGGCTCCGGGTGGCTTTGCCCGCGTCGGCGGAGGGGCGCTCAAGCGAAAGGGGCCCCCCCCCCCCCCCCCCTCTCCCCGCGGACTCCTCGTCTCGCTCGCCTCTCCGCCCGTCGGGCAAGCCTCCTCTCACCCCCCTCCACTCCCTCCACCCCCGCCCCGCCACACCCGCACCACCCTCAACACCCTCACGGCCAGGGCGCCCTCGGCGCGGAGCTCATCGACCGTGCGGAGAGGCAGCGGCTGCAGCGGCTTGCCCCCCTCACCGGCGCAGACCTCGCCGCCTCCTCCGCCGGCCCCGCCGGCTCCGAGCCGCCCCACCTCGGCCCAAGGGACATGTCGACTTCCTTCGGTGCCGGCCTCCTCCCCACCGGCGGCGGGAGCGGAAGCAGCGCCGGCGCGGCCGCCTCAAGCCTCGGCTTTGGCCTCGGCGGCGCCTCAAGCCTCGGCGGCGGCGGCGGCATCGCCCCTTGCGGCACGGCCGCTGCTCCGGCACCTGCGAGCGGGGCCGCTCTGTTTGGCGGCGGAAGCGCTTCGCTCTTCGCGCCCTCCTCCTCAGCCACCCCATCCACGTCGGCTCTTGCTCTCGGCGGCGCGCCGGCCGCCTCGTCCTCGCCAGCAGACGCACCGGCGGCGGCGGCGCCGCCGGCGGCAGATGCGGCGCCCCCCGCGGCGCCGCTGAGTCTGTTCGGATCGAGCGGCGCCGCTGCACCTGCCGCACCTGGCTCGGCGGTGACTTTTACGTTTGGCGGGCCGGCACCGAGCGCCCCGGCGGCGACGCCATCCGCACCGGCCTTCTCGTTTGGGGGGGGAGCCGCTGCTGGCGCCGGCCCGGCGGCGGCGGCGACGCCGACGTCGAGTGTCGCGGCGCCGGCAGCGACCCCGGCCACCCGACCACCCGCTGCTGGCTTCGGCGCCACTGACACGCCGACGGTCGCCGCCGCCGCCGCCGCTCCCACGCCTTCATTCGCCTTCGGAGGGGCTGCGCCCGCCGGGGCTGCGCCTGCCGCCGCTCCCGCAACCACCGCGCCAGCACCTGGAGGAGCGTTCAGCTTCGGCGGTGGTGCCGCTGCCACTCCCGCCGCCGCTGCGCCAGCGCCAGCAGCTGGAGGTGCATTCGGCTTCGGCGGTGGTGCCGCCGCCACTCCCGCCGCCGCTGCGCCAGCGCCAGCAGCTGGAGGTGCATTCGGCTTCGGCGGTGGTGCCGCCGCCACTCCCGCCGCCGCTGCACCAGCGCCAGCAGCTGGAGGTGCATTCGGCTTCGGCGGTGGTGCCGCCGCCACTCCCGCCGCCGCTGCACCAGCGCCAGCAGCTGGAGGTGCATTCGGCTTCGGCGGTGGTGCCGCCGCCACTCCCGCCGCCGCTGCACCAGCGCCAGCAGCTGGAGGTGCATTCGGCTTCGGCGGTGGTGCCGCCGCCACTCCCGCCGCCGCTGCACCAGCGCCAGCAGCTGGAGGTGCATTCGGCTTCGGCGGTGGTGCCGCCGCCACTCCCGCCGCCGCTGCGCCAGCGCCAGCAGCTGGAGGTGCATTCGGCTTCGGCGGTGGTGCCGCCGCCACTCCCGCCGCCGCTGCACCAGCGCCAGCAGCTGGAGGTGCATTCGGCTTCGGCGGGGGCTCCGCCGGCGCCCCCGCTGCCGCTGCACCAGCGGGGGGGCTGTGTGGGTCCTCGACTCCCGCGGCGGCCTCGGCCAACCCGGCAGCGCCGGCCGCCACCGCCTTCTCGTTTGGTGGTGGCGGTGCGGTTGGTGCCGCCACGCCCGCTGCAACGACCAGCCTCTTTGGCAGCGCGGCGGCGCCGAGCACTGACCCTCCTGGCGGTGCTCTTGGCGGCGGTGCTCCTGCAGCTTCGCTCTTCGGCGGCGGCGCGGCTCCCGCAGCTTCTCCCTTCGGCGCGGCGGCGGTGGCGGCGCCCGGTTTCGGCGCGGCGGCGCCATCCGCGCCGGCGGCTGCCGGCGCCTTCTCGTTCGGAGGCGCTCCGGCGCCCGCTGCGGCGGCGGGCGGCTTCGGCGCGGGTGGCGGCGGCTTTGGTGGCAGCGCAGGCGGCGCATCGAGCGGCTTCGGCATTGCGTGCTCGCTGGTGAGCGAGTCGTGGCTCCTGCTCTCACAAAGGTGTCTGCCCCTGTCTTAGGCGCGAGCGCGGGCGGCGCGGCGTCGACAGCCTTCGGGAGCGGAGCTCCTGCGTTTAGCGGCGGGGCCTCCACCCCTGCGGCTGCGTTCGGCGCGCCGGCGCCCGCCGCAGGCGCAGCACCGCTCAGCACGCGCGCCCGCAGCGTTGCACCCTCATCGCGACCCGTCGAGGTTAGGTGGGTTTGGTGCGCCGGCGCCCGCAGCGGGCGGTTTTGGTGCGTTTGTCGAGTTGCGATGCGGCCGGTCCCCACCCCAGCTCCAACTGTTGCCCCCCCCTCCCCCGACTCTAGGCGCGCCGGCACCTGCAGCGGGTGGGTTTGGGGCGCCGGTTGCCCCCGCCCCAGCCACGCCTTCGCTCTTCGGCGGCGGCGCTCCCGCGGCTTCGCCGTTTGGCGCTGCAGCACCGGCAGCGCCCGCTTTCGGCGCCGCAGCGCCGGCTGCTCCCGCTTTTGGTGCTGCGGCGCCGGCCACGGGCTCCGGCGCCGGCGCCTTTTCGTTCGGAGGCGCTCCGGCGCCCGCTGCGGCGGCGGGCGGCTTCGGCGGCAGCGCGGGCGGCGCATCAAGCGGTTTCGGTGCTCTTTCACGTTGCTCCGTATCAGCTTGGCTCCTCTTCTCGCGAGGATCCGCTCTTTGTGTCTAGGCGCGAGCGCGAGCGGCGCGGCGTCGACTACTTTCGGGGGATCTGCATTTGCCAACGGCGCTTCGGCCACGCCGGCGACCACTTTCGGGTTCGGTGGCGCCGCGGCCGGCGCAACGCCGGCGGCGCCAGCTTTTGGCGCGGCTAGTGGCGGCGCGGCGGCACCGACCTTTGGTGCGGGCGCGCCGCCCGCGTTTGGGCCCGCGACCACGGCCGTCCCCGCGGCGGGCAACCCCTTTGCGATCGGGGCGAGCGAGACTGCGGGCCGCAGTAAGGCGCGGACGGCGCGGAAGCCTCTCCGCAAGCCGCGTTGAGAGGGACGGCGGCTGAGACGGCGTGGAAATGTGGTATATAACCACCGTTGAGCGTTGTCTGGGATGGGGAAGAGTCCGTCGCCTCTGTCGGCCGCTCTGGCCTGTCGGAGAGCCTGCCGTACATACAATGGGTTCTACTTTCTTGAAATCTTGAAAATCCCACCCCGCCACGGGCACGGCCCACGCTTTAACAGTGCACACAAAACGGTCAACGCGGCACACAAATCGTTATATTTAGTCCAAATCCACCGGTGCTTTCGCTGATTTCTGCCAATGAGCGACCACGTCTTTTGCCGACTTCCTCTTCTCAAAATACCTGGAGCATCCAAAGATGAGAGCGAGAAAGGGCACAGAAGTTGCCCACGCGAGCACCTACAGACCGTGACAATGTGAGGCCGGAGCGACCGTAATCAGCGCTCTGTGTGTCATGCTGTACCTTGGCGTGTGCAAACTCCAGCGACACCTCGTCCACCTCCGTACGCTCCGACTTCTCGAGGGCAAGGATGACGACTCCGACGATGCCGTATAAGATGCCGAGGTAGAGATGGCAGGCGAGGATGGCGCACGAGACGCAGTGGCATAGGCGCACCACACACGAGGGCAGGCAGGAGGCATTGGCACACGTGCAAGCCCCGACCATCCCGCTCGGCACATCCCAGGTATCTCCATGCGTCCGTGCGCGTGTGTGACGAGGGGATGTCCGACTCGTCGAGGGAGCTAGAGCTCTCTCGGCGGCTTGCCAGAGCAAACACGACTGGGAAATTCACACAGCTCCTCTCAGCTGAACGGCTCCTCCCAGTACCCAGAGTCTGCCGCCAGAGTGCAGCAGAGAGTGCAGAGTCGCAGAGATGAGAGAACTCTCACCCCCATATCAAAGAGTGCAAATGAGGAGCATTATACGTGTGAGAGCTGTGTATGAAGCGCCCAAGCACAGAAAATTCAAACCCATTAACTCAGCCGCTCGCCGGGCCCGACGTGGCGCGATGGCACGGGGCTCGCTTTACGCTTCACGACTTGGCCTTCCTCTTTCTTTGGCGCGCTTTGAACTCGCCGGGCAGCATCGCCGCGCTGACGCCTCTTTGCCACATGCCAAGCCGATTACGCTGCGCCCTCGCCTCGATCGCATCCCAGCCGCCGAGGGGGCGCTGCGCGTAGACTGCACCAGCGCTGCGGTAAACTGAGGCCAGACCCTTGCGCAGTAGCTCGGTCGACAGGTCACGCCGCCGTATCCCGTACTGTACCGTTCCGACGATCCTCCCATACTGGTCGCGCGCGTAGCAGCGCACCCTGACGCGGCGATTAAGGAGCCTCTTTGTGAAGGCCTTGGCGTCTGCCCCGAGCGGCTGTCCTGGCTGCCCAAACTTGGCTGTCTCCGGCGTGTCAACGGCAGCGATTCGCACAGAGATGGTGTTCTCTGACAGCTTGCCCTTGAATTTGCCAGACGACAGGAGCGTGGGCGTGTGGCGAACGCGCAAGGTGTCGCCATCGCTCACGGCGACCACCTTGGCAGCAATGGAACGGTGCTGTCGCAGATGGCTGCCAGGCATGTCGTCAGCGGTCAGGTAGAGGTCGAGACAGCGCTGGAGAGTGGAACCCGCGCAGCCAGCAGCTACGCCAGCCGCAAAAGAGCCCACGGCGACCGCGGGAGACTGCTGCACTGCCTTTGAGGCCGTGGCAAACAAGCCAGTCGCAACAGCGGGCGAATTCCGCACTGCATCTGAGGCCGTGCGAGCCGCATTTCCCACCGAGGTTTGCACCACAGCGAAGAACGGTTTGGCTCCGGGCGTGAGCGCCGCAGGGATGGAGGTAGCCACGAGGATTGCCAGCATGTCTCTGTGGTGCTCGTTTACTATGTGCGCAGCGGCTGGCTCGCTCTGCCAGCACACAGTTGTCATGTGTTCACATAAACGCACAACCCCGCGGGCCCGAAATCGCACAGAGTCACAGCCTTGTTATTGAGAAGAAAATACCTACGTCCTATGGCGCTGTGCGCTGGTCTGTGAGAGGTTGAGGTGCGAGCCCTGGAGGCCCTGGGGATGGGGGGAGACTACCCGCGGGCCTAGAAGGCCCGCGCGCAGGGGGGTGGGGCATTGAGACCGGTCATGAATGAGTGGGGGACACGCATGTTGCGAGCAGCGTTGTTGATGTTTTGCGCATCGCCACAGACGGCGGCGTTCACAGCCTTGTTATTGAGAACACGTCCTGACCACTCGGGCAACTTTTACCAAATGCAAAAGTTGCGCCTTACCATTCGGGCAAAATCGATTGCATTTTACCACTCGGGCAAACTCGATGAAACGGGCGGACGGAAAACGCGTTTGCGGCAGCTCGCCGGAGAGCCATGCATGAAGCGGCCGGCGCGCCACCGCAGCTCACCGATGGAGCTTGCGGAGCGGCTCAATCCTCTGGCGCAGCAGCATCGCGACCCATTCTCCAAGCACGGCCGCTGGCGTTGCGATTGCACAGAGAGCGAGCAATAGTCGCCAAAAACACTGATCTGTGTGCAGCGGATCTCCATGGCGGCCGCGCCCAGCGAAGGGACAACCGCAGGCCTCGGATGCTCGCCCGGAAGCGGTCCCACCGTGCGAGTTGCAGCCCCGGAGGTGGCCGACCCAGCTCACCCCAGAGAGACCATGCCCAGGGTCAGGCATAAAAGGGGGGTGTTTTTCCGTCCGTCCATTCTCTCAGTGTACGTACTTTTAGCTTACTGGGAGAAAAGAGACAGGGGGTTGTGTTCTCTAGGCTCTCTCAGTGTATGTAGCTCTTACGAACATACCCGTAGGTGAACATTTTGGGCTGCTACTTTTTATGATACGGATTCTTTTTCTTTCACACACCGGAGGCTGATATTCAGCTGAAAAACCTTCGTGGTTGGGGGTCGGACGGGAAACTTTTGCGAGTGGGCAGGGGGCTGCAGCCTGCAGGGGGAGAGGGGGAGGGAGGCCCAGCGAGGGGCTGCGGCTGGATCCTAGTGCGCGGACGGATGCACTAAATTAAGACGCACTAAACCTCGCTAACTCTGGATGTAAAGTCGCAGTGAACTCGCGCTAAAGTTGCGCTGAATTCGCGCTAAAGTTGCGCTAAATTCGCACTAAATTGCGCTAAAGTGCACTAAAGATGCAGTACATAAACACTTCACAGCCTTCTTATTGAGAAGAAAATACGTCCTATGGCGCTGTGGTGCGCTGTTCACAGCCTGAGGGCCCAACTTGAGAATCGTGCTTTTTTGGGTTAGGGACGAGCGCGAAGGACCGATTGCGGTGAAGGACCGCAGGTTAGGGACCGATCGCCGCCGCTCACGCCAGCGGACGGTCGTCGTCAGTGATGTTAGCTACGCCACCGTCTACCTCGTGCGACATGCGCTCGCCGGCATCGAGCGAGCAACGTGTTCGACCGACCGGCTTGCTGTGCGGACGGCTTCTTGTGGCTCTCGTCGAGAGCGTTTTGCGGCCCGGCGGGTGGGAGAACATGTGCCCGTTTGATGTGTCACTTTTTTACGTCATGTCAGTCTTGATAAAAAGCACGGTCGATCCCTCAAAGCGATATACTCGTCACGTCACGCTGGACGGCTTGCACGGAGCTCTGTGACGGCACACATCAGGAAGACCGCCGTACGGCAAGAAGAGCTCGATGGGGAGCGAGAACCGTCAGAGGAGGTTCAGGGGTAACCTGAGTCCTCCGTGACGCGCACGATCGACGGATCGACCGTACTTGTTATCAAGACTGACATGACGTACACAGTGACACATCAGACGACACATATTCTCTCACCCGCCGGGACGCAAAACGCTCTCGACGAGAGCCACAAGAAGCCGTCCGCACAGCAAGCCGCTCCTCGGACAGGCGAGCTCGCTCGATGTCGGCGAGCGCATTGCGCACGCTTTGGACGGTGGCGAAGCCAAAAACACCGACGGTGGCCGTCCGCTGGCGTGAGTGGTGGCGATCGGTCCCTAACCTGTCGCTCGCGGTCCCTAACCCATAAGTAGTCCACTTCGCGCTTTAGTCCCTAACCAAAAAAGCACGATTCTCAAGTTGGGCCCTCAGCCTTGTTATGAGAAGAAAATACGTCCTATGGCGCTACATGTACTCGAGTAGGGAGGGTGGTCCCTTTTGTGAAACTGAAACGCGGAACGCGATCTGTGTCTCGCGTTCCTCAACGCTTGCGATTCAGCTGTCGCGCCGCTGGATGATCTTGCTCAGCTCGCCGAGCTCCTGAACGGTCAGCGGTTCACAGCCTTGTTATTGAGAAGAAAATACCTCCTATGGCGCTCGCTGTGCGCTGGCCTGTGAGAGGTTGAGGTGCGAGCCCTGGAGGCCCTGGGGATGGGGGGGGACTACCCGCGGGCTTCACACCGTATTCTGTGGGCCCGAGAGCGATATGCCATGTCCGCCTTGCGTTTGTTTCATAACATCGAAGGCTAAGCTCAAAAAAATTAGTCAGAGCTTGGCAACCTTGCTTTCACGACCGTGAAATCAAGTACGTATTGCAAGAACGTGGGCGGAAATGCCCCCAGCCCACACGACCTTGCTGACGACACGCCAGCGCCCCTCGCGTACGTGCGCCTCAGCTCAATCACGGACGTACTTCAGACACTACGTACGTACTGTCAAAACAGGGACGTACATACATGCAAGTACGACCTTATGCCTCAAATTTTCTCTTCGGCTCGCTCCGCTCGCTTCTGTGCGCAATAGCCGGTCCTCGCGCCGGACGTCGGCGGCTCCTGGCCCTATCCTGGCCCTAATCTACGCAGAGAACCCAGCCGGGGCGGCCGCCGTAGCCCTCGGCCCAAACGTATCCCTGGCCGTTCACCAGCGGCGCGTTCTCGGCCGCGACCTCCTCGGTCATACCTTCGGTGTCGCAGTGGTCGGTCGTGGTCCCACCGTCGGTCGTCATGCCGAGCGCGACGCGCTCCTTGTGAGCCGCGAGCCACGCTGCGATTGATGCGTCCGCGCGCTCATTCGCTTCATCCAGGCGCTTGTTGAAGTCTGCCGCCACCTTCTGCCACTGCCGCTGCCGCTGCGCCCGCAGCCGCTGCACGGTCTCGTCAGTCAGCAGCGTCTTCGACTGGCGGTCCTCGATCATGGCCGCCTGATGCCGCAAGAACCAAGCAGACCTTCGAGGGCCAGACATGGTTGGGCCAAACTGTCGCTCGAAGACACGCGGCAAATGATTGTACGGTCGTGATTTTACGGTCTTGAGAAAAAGAAGCGCCCTCGGGCAAAAAAGAATTATAGTTAAGCGCTCGGAGCACTTGTTAAGATGTACACAAACAGCGCACCCACGGCGCACCCACCCCACCCTCCCACGCCGACCACTGCTTCGTACCAACAGCCGCCCCCTTTTGGCAGACGCCAAAGGACCACATCTTGCCGGGCGCAGAACCCTTGGGCATCGTGGGTGCGATGTAGTCGTCGGTCTTGCAGCGGGAGGCGGCCCACTGCTCTGCAGTGCAGCCTTTCCACTCCGGCCGGGACTGCTTCCACGGCTGGTACGACGGCATTGCCACCTCGGGGCCGGACGCAGCCGCCTGCGGCGGCGCCGGCGCGCCCGCGGGTAGTGCCGCTGTCCGCTGGTCAGAGCCGTCTGCCGCCTCGCCCGCGCCGGCGGCCGCGGGCGCCGCTGCATCGGCGGGCGGAAAGTACGCCTGCATGGTGCAGCGCCGCTGGCGACGGCGAAGGAGGCGGAGCGTGTCTTTGCCACAGCCAATAAGAACGTGCGAGTACGGTCTTGTTTTGGGCAAAACAAGAACGTGATTGCATCACTCGCTAAGGACGTGAAAACAAGGCCTTCCCCAGGGTAAGTACGTACTTATCTCTGAAAATTTTCTTCGCGCGCTTACGCGCGCGACGAGTTCACGCCCTACGGGCGTGTGGCCTGCGGCCACTAAGGTTGCCAAGCTCTGAAAATTAGCCGTCCCGCTCCAGACGATGACGAGCCTGAAAGTGGAGCGCTTCCGCGAGACCGTCGGCGGCATCACAAGCGCTGAGGCAAGCTCGATTCTCGAGGCGTGTGACTGGGACATCAAAGCCGCGCTGGCTCGTTGCCGGCGTGACGGAGTCGGCATCGTTGGATCTTTGGGCTCCGCTGCGCGGGCCACCTCGGCAAACACCCCGCCGGCGGCTGAAGCCACGGCCGCCGCGCCGGCGGCTGAAGCCGCGACGCCACCGCCACCGGCGTTCGACTGCTTCCTTACGCACGATTGGGGCGACGACGAGGAGGGCCGCGGCAACCACGATCGGGTGGGCAGGGTGAGCGCGGCGCTCAAGGCGGCGGGGCTGCGGCCGTGGTTCGACGAGGAGCGGATGCAGGGCGACATCAACCAGCGGATGGTGGAGGGGATCGAGGGTTCGAGCAGCGTCGTCTGCTTCATCACGAGGCGGTACCTCGTAAAGGCGTGGGGCAAGGGGCCAGCCGGCGAAGACGACAACTGCAAGTTCGAGTTTGACTACGCCTGCCGCCGCAAGGGCGTCGCGAAGATGATCTCGGTCGTGATGGAGCGCGGCTGCCGCAACCCCAGCGGCTGGGCCGGCACCGTCGGCGGCAAGCTCGGCGGCAAGCTCTACATCGACCTGAGCTCAGACGACGCGGCTGCCTTTGACGCAGGGGTGAGGCTGCTGGTGGGGGAGGTGCGTTTGCTAATGGCAGGGCCGTCGTGACTTCTCTCTATATGACATGATATATACCAAAGGATAACAATAGACATAGACCTGATCTCACGTTTTACCTCACGCGTCGCGTCGCCTTGTACATGTCCCTGTCGCGTCGTCGAGTGCCGCCGATAAAATATAAATGAAATATTGCGAAGTAGTGAAGAGAGGAGCGTTCCCGCCCACCACACGGCCCACACCGCCCGCTCTGCCTCGACGACGCCCAGGTCGACGCCCCCCAAGTCGCCCCCCCGCCCCACACCACGGGCACGACTTATTCGTTCCCGCGAACGCCGACCCTGGACCCTGGTCGCACGTGACACACAAGGCAATCACAACACGCGAGACGTCGAGTCGTAGGTGCCAGAGATGCACCGCACCAGAACGACAAGCAAAACACGCATGCAATCGCAAACAGCCGAGAGTCAATGTCTCCCCTATTCGGGTCGCCGCCAGGAGGAAAGAGGGGAGCCGCCCTCGCTGGAGCCGCCCTCGACGCACCCGACAGCTTGAGAGGGGTACAGCGTCCGGGGACCCATGACACCAGTAGCCGCCCTCGGCGATCGCCCCATCACACCAGACCGACAAACACACCGCCCACCCCGCCCCTGGCCGCCGCCGCCTCGGCCGCCCCCTCTTCCTGCGGCCGCGGCTACCGGCCGCCAAAAACGGCTTGCGACATCTGCGCGGCGCCCTTGTACCCTTGGATGGAGGCGTGGCCGATGCCGGTGAAGTCGTATTTGGACGCCACCTGCAGCCAGGCGCGCGGGGCGGCGCGAGGCGGAGGTTGGGGGAGGAGGCGGCGGAGGAGGGAGGCGGGGTTTGGCTGCGGGGAGGAGCGGCAAGCAGAGGTGGCGAGCAGAGGTGGCGAGGGCAGCGCCGAGCCTGCTGGTCGAGGCGGTCTGCCGCCTGCGTGCCCATCGGGTCCTCCTTGGCGTGGACCTGGGGGGCGGGGGGTGGGATCGGAGGCGTGGGACAAGGGCGGCGAGGGAGGCCGGCTCTGGCCCGACTCTCCCTCTTGCCCGACTCTTGCCCGCCTCCACTCGACCGACCTCGCCGCCGATAGCACGCGGAGAGGGAGACGAGGGGACCGACGGGAGGACCAGGAACGGAGGGAGGGGAGGAAGGCAGAGGGAAGGGGCCCCGGGAGGAGTACAGGGGGGAGGCGCGCACCACCGCCGTCGACACCACCCCCATCAGGTCGCCCTGAGACACGTCGTCGAGCACCTCGTCGGTGTACTCGGAGTTGACGGAGCTGGCCGCCGCTGCCTGCCCGCCGTCGTCGCCAAACCCAATGTTGGGACCGCCGCCGCCGCCGCCGCCGCCGCCGCCGCCGCCGTAGTGGTACGCGCCATACCCGCCCGGACCTTTCCCGCCGTAGCGGTAGCCCGCTCCGCCGCCGCCGCCGCCCTTGCCATACGTGCCACCACCGCCCTTGCCGTACATGCCCGGACAGCCCTCCTGCCAGAGCCGAACACACCGCCCCTTGGGAGCACACCATGAGAAGCCGGCCGACAGCGCGCACCCGTGGCCGTCGACATGGTTGCCGACGCGGCCGCCACCGTACGCGTACCCGCCGTACCCACCGAAGCGGCGGGGCGGCGGCGGCGGAGGGGCGGGCGGCGGAGGGAAGAGATTGTGGAAGAATCCCTGCCAACGGGGGCCCCGCTCCTTCATCACTGCCGGCGAGTCGAGCGGCGCCGTCTGAGGCGCAATACTAGGAGCAGCGAGCGCGAGAAGCGTCAGGGCCGCCACGGTCAACACGGCCGCAGCAAATCGGCCGCGGCGCCAGTTGGTCTCTTGCGGCTCAATCATGTTAGGGAGGCTCTGTTGCACTCCGCCTGTTGCACTCCGCCGTGGGCGAGGGGGGCGAAAGTCGGCGGTGAAATCGGAGTTCTTTTGTTCTAGTTCTATCTGGCAATGGTAGGGGTGGTTGAAGGGTTGAGGGTTGAGGCCCCCCCTCAACCATCTGGTTGACGGTTGAGACACCCCCGTCAACCCTTTAGTTGGGGGTTGAGGCCTCCGGGGAAATGGGAGTTCTTTTGTTCTATGGCTTCAGTGCACACACACACTCACACACACTAAACAAAACATTGCTAAAAATCTCTCTCTCACACACTATGGCTTCACACCGGCAGCCGCGCCGGAAGTGCCAAGTTGGCATTCTACAGCCCAGCGGTCGAGAGAGAGATTTTTAGCAATACCAAACAAATCTAACACTCACACGTCATTTGGGGCCGGAGCCCTGTTCACGCGCGCGCGAGACGTGCAGACAGGGTTGCCAGGTGAGAGCGAATGGCGCGGTTCACGCCTCGCACAACAGGAGAGAGATGTTTTGCGGTCGACGACACGGTGTGTGGAGCCAACGGCACGGACCGCTTTGCCGCTCGATACAATACACAGATGGCCACTCGCGTCGCGCTCTTCTCGACCGCCGCCGACGCCGCCGCCGCCTCCCAGAGCGTCTCCGCTCTCTTCTCCGAGCACGACCGCGAGCTGCGAGACCTGCTCGAGCCGCTCGCCACTCTCACCGCCGCAGAGCAGGAGGCCATCGGCTCCGCCGCGACGGCCGAGGCGGTCGGCCGGGCGTGGGAGGCGAACGACGCCGTGCTGCGGACGCTGCTCGCGGGCCGGCTGTCGCCAACGATGGCACTGCCTGCGCCCGGTGCCGGTGCCGCCGCCCCGCCGAGCTCAGATCAGGCGGCCGGCGAGAGCGGAGCCGCCGGGTATGCATCCGCCGCAGCCGTCATCGCTCACCTCGTGCGCGACTGGAGCGACGAGGGCGCCTTCTCCCGAATGCGGACGCACCCACCCGTGCTTCGCGCGCTGGCTGCGCTCGCGCGGAGCCGCCGTCCAACCTGCGCCTCGAGCAGGCCGCGCTCCAACTGCTCGGCGGCGGCACAGCTCCGAGTGCTGGTGCCCGGCGCGGGCGCAGGACGGCTGGCGTGGGAGGCGGCGCAGCGAGGCTACCGCGTGGAGGCGCGGTCACTCGGCTGGCTGCTCCACTGACGCCCTCTTCACGGCTCCGGGCGTGATCAGGTCGGTCGGTCGCGGTGCTGCTATGCGCCCGTCGCGTGCCCACGGCCCCGTAAGGCCTCTCCGGCTGCGAGCTAGGCCAACGACGCGTCGAGCGCCATGCTCCGTGCCGCGCACGGGCTCATCTCGGGCCGGCTCGGCTCGACCTCGCGCAATCTCGGCTCGAGCTCGCGCAATCTCGGCTCGACCTCGCGCAATCTCGGCTCGACCTCGGGCGGGGTCGGCGTGGCGGAGGTCTTCCCGCGCGTGCGGTGCGCGGGCAACGCGTTGCATCGCTCCTCCTGCTTGATTTCGATCTTGATCTTTTTGCCGCCGGCGGACCGAGTCTTCGCTCCTTCGGTGAATCAGACGATGACGCCGCTGGCATCAGAAGGACAACTCGTAATGAAACG